TATGTAAAACAGTATGTGGAGCACAGGTATGCTCATGTATGTGTTGGCAACGCTATAGCCTATTGCACACACAGTCTCTGATAGAGGGGATGACCTTATGGCTCAATACATGCAGTTTGGGAGACGTGGAGAAAATCATAGCTCGCTATAGAGATTGCATTGCGTTGACAATGCATTGCCAGTACTCTATCATCCAATGAGTGCCACACATAACGTATGAACACATTTGTGGTGATGTCAACAGTATATTCACTGAACGCACCGATTGTGTCCACAACTTCTTAACCAGTAGTTCCCATTCAATCTGTTTATTAATATAATTGTCACCCATTTTTGCCCCGTATTTATCAAATCAATTTGAAACCTCGTATTGAGTGCAGTCGTTGCACGCAAATAGTGCCCATAATTAGTACCAAATGGCGAGTAAGTAGTCGTGTCTTATCATTGTCTTCGTCAGTGATTGTTTGCCATCAAACTAATGATTGTCTTCACTCTCTCTCCCCAATCGCCACCCATTCCTCTTCAGTTAAATTTCTCGAAGTGATTAAACCGTTTTGCGGTATTTTGCCGGAAGTGGCAAAACCCGAACGCAAGATACAGTTCCGGGAGAAGGTCTTGTGGACAGCCATCACTCTATTCATATTCTTAGTCTGTTGTCAGGTATGCCATCCATTGTCATAGCGCACGGCGACCCACCACTCACTGTCACTCCCAAACAGATCCCACTGTTCGGTATCATGTCATCGGACTCCGCCGACCCTTTCTATTGGATGCGAGTTATCTTAGCGTCCAATAGGGGGACACTCATGGAGTTAGGTATATCACCGATTGTCACCTCCGGACTCATTATGCAGCTGTTGGCCGGCGCTAAGATCATCGAAGTGGGCGACACTCCCAAAGACCGGGCCCTCTTCAACGGCGCGCAAAAGTGTGAGTTGTCTGCAGAATCTGCGCCACCAATAGATCCACCAATTGATCCGCCAATTCAATGATACACTAACGACTGGTGTGGATGTGTTTTGTGTCCATACAGTGTTCGGAATGGTCATAACGGTAGGCCAGGCCATCGTGTACGTGATGACCGGTATGTATGGCGATCCAGCGGACATCGGCGCCGGTGTGTGTCTACTGATTATCATACAGCTGTTCGTCGCCGGTCTCATTGTCCTGCTGTTGGACGAGCTCTTGCAAAAGGGCTACGGCTTGGGCTCCGGTATCTCTCTGTTCATCGCCACCAACATCTGCGAGACGATCGTGTGGAAGGCGTTCAGTCCGGCCACTGTCAACACCGGGAGGGGCACGGAGTTCGAGGGCGCCATCATCGCGCTGTTCCACTTGTTGGCCACCCGTCAGGACAAGATTCGCGGCCTTCGCGAAGCCTTTTACCGGCAAAACCTACCGAATCTGATGAACCTTTTGGCCACAATCCTGGTGTTCGCGATTGTCATATACTTCCAGGGCTTCCGAGTGGATCTGCCCATCAAGTCGGCCCGTTATAGGGGACAGTATAGCTCGTATCCCATCAAACTGTTCTACACGTCAAACATTCCGATCATTCTTCAGTCGGCGCTCGTCTCCAATCTGTACGTCATTTCGCAGGTAATTATCGATCCGTTTTGTGGCCACTCTTAAGCTGTCGTTTCGATGCCGACCATTAATTATCTCCCAATACGTGTCGCCGCAGATGTTGGCCGTGAAGTTCAGCGGAAACTTTTTGGTGAATATATTGGGCGTCTGGGCCGACGTGGGAGGCGGCGGACCCGCCCGAGCCTACCCTATAGGCGGCCTCTGTTACTACCTCTCGCCGCCCGAGACGTTAGGCCATATCGCGGAGGACCCGATCCACGCGGTCCTATACATCGTGTTTATGTTGGGTTCGTGCGCTTTCTTCTCCAAGACGTGGATCGAAGTCTCCGGTTCCAGCGCTAAGGACGTGAGTCTGACATCCCTTTCCCCCTCACTTCCCGTACCTCTTAAAATGTAAACAATTGATTCGATGCCGCAATCGATGAATAGGTGGCGAAACAGCTGAAGGAGCAGCAAATGGTGATGAGAGGGCACAGAGAGAAGTCGATGATTCACGAGCTGAACCGTTACATCCCGACCGCCGCCGCGTTCGGCGGCCTCTGCATCGGCGCGCTGTCCGTGTTGGCCGACTTCCTGGGCGCCATCGGCAGCGGCACCGGTATCCTATTGGCCGTCACCATCATCTACCAGTACTTCGAGATATTCGTGAAGGAGCAGAGCGAGATGGGCGGCATGAGTACACTGCTCTCGTAAAGTGGACAGACATCACGAGATTAATAATATAAACAATTTGGAAAAAAATCAAATTAATTTACATATAAAATACACACATTTTTTCATTTCTCATACAAAATATTATTTTAATTAATGGAAATTTAAATTAATTAAAAATGAATAGAAAACTAATTTAAAAACGAGAATATTATTGATTTTTATTTATCATTTGATAATTAAAGCGAAAAAATAATTATGAATTTGTGGTAAACATAGTGTTTGAATGGGTATTACAATAATTGATTTGTTGAAATGAATGCATGTTTTTATTTCATATATTTGGAGTTATGTTCGGCCAATACTCTCGCGGACTGTTTGGCGTCGAAAAACAGTTCATTCACTTCGCGAAGAACCTTCAGATCGATGGTCGAGCACTGGTTGACGCGCGCCAACTGCATGGCTGGGCTCAGCAGCTGCACCGCGTACCTGATCGAAGTCTTGGAGCCGATCTCCGACAGGTGTACCAGTGCCTCGTCATCGATGTAAATGCTTTCCGTTTGGGCTCTGATTCTCAAAATCTACGCCAAAACAAGTGAACACAAAATTAGACCATTAGTTAGTGGTTAGCGCGCGCCTACAGTGTGGCGGCGCCGGGCGCTCAATACCTGAAGCATTTCCTGCGTATTATACGGTATCGTCTTAATGATCATCAGTCTGTCCAACAGATCCAATGGTATTCCGTGCGGCGAATAGATATCCTCAGTGCCCCTCACTATACACCGGCCCCTATTGGACGCGAATATCACGATCGGCGCGATGTCCGACTCCAACGCCCGGTGCAGATACGTGAAGCACTCGATGTCCAGCATATGGACCTCATCGATGAACAGGACGCCCGTCACCAACTCAGCGATTCCCTGATCGATGTACTTATTCACCACTTTATTGATCTCTTTGCGCAGCTTATCGGTGATCTCCGTCTTGCGGGGCTTCAGCAGCTGTCCCATCATCGACAGGATATCCTGCCCTCCCTGTGGCCGGGCGTTGGCCGCGTCCAAGTCGTGGAGCGTCACGTCCTGCACGACCTCCTTCTTCTTGTGCACATCGCCCTTAGGGATGGGGACGTACTCCTCGGCCTCCAAGTCATACTCCGTGGCGTAGGCGTCGCTGCGGCCCTGCCTTTTCACGGACCCGCTGTTCGCCTCGATGTATATGACGTCCCCGACCTCCACGCGCTCCTTCTGGAGGCTCTCGTAGATACTGGGGTCGAGTTTCAACTGTTTGGTGCCCTTCGCTGTCTTCAGGCCGATCACGATGTGAGAGATGGTCTTCCCGTAGCCGCCCAACGGGTTCTCCGTCTCCGTGGGCGTCATTTCGGTCACCTCTCCCTCGTAGACCTCCTTCACCTCTTTGATGCGCAGCCCTATTGCGCGTCGGAAGTTCTCCATCAGGACCTCAGTCTTCTTCACTTCAGTCGAGTACACCTCTGAGGCGACCATTGGACAGAAGGGCACCTTTGAGCCCAACTCCTGGCTCACGGCCAGCGCGATGGCAGTCTTGCCGGTGCCGGGAGGGCCCGCCAAAAGCGCCGCCCGACCCGCCATTCGCTTCATTCGGATCAATTCTACCACAATGCCGGCCGCCTGTACGCCATAAGGGGAAAGGCATACGGATTAGCATATTATCGATACAGTAGTGGTCAGGGGATCCAATGTCGCCCTCAACACCACCGATGACTATCACACCAACTTATGGCATACGCAGTGTATATCATGTCTTACCTCTCGGGCGGACGCCTGTCCCACGAGACCGGCGGCGACCGGAATGGCGGCGCCCGACTCGTCAAGTCCGAGACCTTTCACGTGACTGTGCGCTGATATACGCGCACTCTTCGACACATTCTTCACTTCCTCTATTTTCATCATCTCTTCGGCGGTGATCTTCTTCTGGAGTGACAATGGCTTCGCACGACTCGTAGACCAGTGTTTGCGATGCGATTCAATGCCAATGCAGTAGTGATTGTCTCCCAAAACACACACCGTTTGCACAGTGAATGCCTTTTCTCTTGAATATATATTTGGTACCTTTTATGGTCTGTAACTCCATTCAATCATTCATTATAAAACAGCCCAATTTGCGGTTATGTGATGAGAGAGCAGTTAGTATAATACATATAAAACGTCTGATACATTGTATCATAAAATATGGTTAGATTTGAGATTAAAACCAGAGATCCGAGTGATTGGCGGCCGCGAAGACCGACAACTCACTCAATCCGCCTCTTCTTGGAGTCGACGGCTGAGCCACCGCTTCCGTCGGTCAGTTCCTCGGAGGAGGCGGCCGTCTGTTGGACGTCATCGTCGGCGCCGCCACTCTCTGCCGAGTCGACGACCGATGTGTTGTCCGCGAGAGAGGGGGCGCTGTGGCCGCCACTGCCGCCGGAGTCATATTCGGTGACATTTGAGGGCACTGTCGACCTGCCGGCGGACGTGTCGGAGCTCGAGCTCATAGGCTCGACGCTCGAGGAACCGCTGGACTCGTGCGGCGACGGAGCTGCCGGTGCCTCCACCACAGCTGCGGCCACGAACTCGAAGGTCGTGTCACTCACGTAGTGGTCGATCACCGCCGACAGCGTCTGAACGCCGGCCAACAGCCTCACCGCCGATAGGGTGTGAGTCGTGGCTTGTCTTCGGATTTCGAGGTCTTCCAAGTCGGCGATCGGATCCAACGGAATCATCGCAACCCCTTCTCCAGACAATTGCAGTAACTCTGCGACGAGTTCTTCGTGGATCTCATGGCTGACGGGAGTGAGTGTGAGTGAGTGAGTGAGTGAGTGAGTGAGAGAGAGAGAGAGAGCTTACTGTTGAGGTTGAGTATGAGGACCAAGTGATCGGACGCACGATATGGCGGAGACAAGCAGTGGTTGCAATGCATTCATTGTATCAGTTTTGGTGACAGTATGGAAGTGGTGGTGATGTTCACTCCTGTGCCTCCTTTGAAGCACTGATCGCAACAATGAATGGTTACGAGCCTTATGTGCAGACTTCATGGCAGTAGTGGTCACTTACAGGTATAGCAACCAATGGTCAGTGCAATCATACACACGGCTCGCACTCAGCTGTGAGTCGATGAGAGAGAGAGAGAGAGACTCATAGCACACATGCAGTGACGCCCTCTACGGGCCAACACATGTCTGCACAACAAACGACTCAATGTTGTCGTGAATATCGCAGACAATTGTCGTCACGGTTTTGGTGCCAAACAACGGATCCCATCGATGGTTGTGCGCTGAAGAGCACCACAACACACACGACACCATCACTCATATGGAGAGCAACGCCTCACTCGAAGCGAACGCCTCGTCGTCGCTGTTGTTCGCGGCGGCCGTCGGAGGCGGTGGACAACCAAACGGCGTCTCCTTTCAGGACTTCTTCGACGACCGGAGTATCGATAGTTTAGATCAACTAGTCTTCGACGGCAGTCACATGAGCGCCGCCGCCAGTAATGAGTTCACGAGTGGCTACGAGTTAGCGGCCAATGAGCGCCACCGCGACGGCCGCACCGATAGTACGCCACTCGATGGCCGTCTGACGGGTGATAACGGCAGCGACGACGAGGACGGGACGGATGAGCGCAACGACGGCAACGAGTCGTCCATCGGGTGTGACGTCCCCTTCGAGTACGTCATTCATGAGCACCAAAATGACAGGTATTTCTGGTGGACACCGATCGGTGACACCACTCGTCGGCGTCGTCGCCACCAATCAAACGCGTGCTTTGATGGCCGCCAATGAGTCGACCGTTGATTGCCATCAATTGAGCGCACGTTTGATGTGTTATTATTGCACGCCTTATAGTAACCATTATCTCTCCCACACGTCACCCACAGCTACATCCACCACACCATCAGCCAGGACTCGATCGCACTGCACATAAACCCGGGCACCGGTCCTATGCCTCGCCACCCGTCGCACGTGACGCTCACCATCGAGACGCGCGACGAGGCGTCGGGTCTCAAAGAGATCAAACGGTTCCGGTGTACGTACGAGGGGTGCGCGCGTACGTACAGCACCGCCGGCAACCTCAAGACCCACCAGAAGACCCACACCGGGGAGTATACGTTCGTCTGCTCGC